CTTTTATTAACAATTAGCAACATTAAATTGGTACTCGATTGCTAGAGACAGTTTACGTGGCAGATAATTCCCCTCAGCGGGTCTTATCTTTCAAATTCAAGGTCACGGCGCTTTATTTTACGTTCAGAGTATCTTGAGTTCGTACCTAAGACAGTATATATATATTTTTTTTTCTCTGTTTTTATTTCTTAATTGATTATTTTATTTTAATATTTTTTTTTCTACTGAGACTCTATTTTATTTATTTATAAAAATGTTTTTTTTAATATTTGTATATATATTTGTAAATAGATTAGTTATTAAGTATTTGTTTTGTAAATTTTCTTATTAGTGATACTTTTTTTTTTTTTTCTCTCTTCTTTTTGTATATATTATTATTTAGAGGTATGGATTCTGATAAGAACATTTCTTTTGACGAATCAGATGAAGAGACTCCTTTCTCCGAAATCAGTGAGACTGATTCTCAATATTTAACAAGGCGAACTCTCCAAAAGCGCCATAGAAACTCTGCCCCCGGTTCGGCGGGCAACTCACCTAATAAAAAAAAAAACAAATCCGCTAAAACAAAGCAAGCTCTCAAAGTAAATAAAGAATCAAAAACTAGTAATAATTCAGCTATGAAACCTGACACTAAACCATCAACTAACACATCCAGTAACAATTCTGTTACAGCCAATAATAAAATTAACGAAATCACTGAACCTAGAACTTTCACTGAACCAGTGCCACCTCCGATTTATGTAAGCAAGATTGACAATTTCATTCAGTTCGGTCAAGAAATAGCTAATCTGATCGGACCGACCAACTTTCGGTGTTTTTCTCGAGTCAACGATATAAAGATTAACACCAATACTAAAGATGATTATAAAAAACTTATAAATCATTTGACAGCACTCAATCACGACTTCCACTGCTATCAACTAAAAGAAGACAAAACATATAGAGTGGTTTTGAGAGGTCTTCACTCTACCACACCCACTACCGCTATAAAAAAAGATTTGGAAGATATCGGCCATTCGGTAAGACATATATCTTCTATCTTACATCCTATTGATAAATATCCACTGCCATTATTTTTCATCGATCTAGAACCAGCCCGGAATAATGCAGAAATCTTCGAAGTTAAAAGACTGCTGTATTCTGTTGTAAAATTTGAAGAGCCGAGGCAGAAACCAATAGTCGTTCAATGCACCAAGTGCCAAAACTTAGGGCATACAAAGGCTTACTGCCATCACTCGGTGCGTTGCGTTAAATGCGCCGGGCCTCACGCCTCTAACACCTGCCCGAAACCGTTAAATGAACCACCAAAATGTGCCCTTTGTGGTGAGGACCACCCTGCAACCTATCGGGGCTGCATTATCTATAAGAAGCTATATAAGCAAAGAACTTATAATTTATCATTAAAAGAAGAACAGAAGAATTCTACCCAGGCACAGGTACAGGCACCTGAACTCCTAAATTTGGCAGCGTTTCCTCAACTGCCGAACGAAATAATACCACAATTGACGCACAACCCTTCTACATCAACAGATCATCCCCATCAAGACTCTAGGCATCTATATTCAGACACTACGGTGAAGAATCAACAGCCGCGACGTCAGACGCCTCAGATTTCCAAAACTAAGACTCAGGCTTCCAAACCTAAGATCCAGACCTCCCAATCCAAGACTCAAATCTCCCACATTCATTCAAAATCTCCACGTCAGCAAATGCCTCCTCACCAGATACCTATACGTGTAAAATTACCGCCCGAACATCCAACTCCTGTTTATTCCCACCCTACTGCTCATATTTACTCTCCTTCCCAAGTTCCAAGGGTACATCCTTCATCAGACACTCCTTATCATAAGATCTTTCCCTCACGAACTCCTAATCAAAACCAACCTGACCAACAAAACCCGATCGATTTAATAAACTCCACTCTTGCTTCCTTCCTGAAAGATCTCCAAGAGACTATCAAGCCACTAATTACCCTCCTCACAAGAATCCTTACCGAAATTCCCTTCAATCTCTCACGATGAGCACTAAGCCCCTAGCTGTTCTTTTATGGAATGCTAACGGACTACAAAACCACCGAGACGAACTCGACATTTTTCTTCATGACTATCACATTGATATTGCTCTACTGACAGAAACTCACTTCACTCGACGTTCATATTTCTACATACGTGACTATATCACTTATAGATCAGACCACCCCGACAACACTTCCCATGCCGGTTCTTGCATCCTTATCCATAAATCCTTATCCCATTCTCTCATTCCTTCTACTCCAACGGAGGCTATTCAAGCAACCTCGGTTATCATTTCAACTCGTCCTTTCCATTTAACATTCTCAGCTGTATACTGTCCTCCCGGTCATACTCTTACCTATAACTTACTTGAATCCTTATTTCAATCCTTCGGATCGCGCTTTATTGCTGGAGGAGACTACAATGCTAAACACCAACGATGGGGTTGTCGATCATCCAACTCCCGTGGTAACATACTATCTTCTGTCTCAACTTCCAATAGTTACTCTGTCCTCTCTCCTATGAATCCTACCTATTGGCCAACATCCCTCAAAAAACGCCCTGATATCCTCGACATATTTGTCACCTCCCAAATTTCCTCTTCCCATGTCACAATAAAATCCCTGGATGACCTCTCCTCAGATCATTCTCCAGTTCTGCTTTCATTACACACAACCTTCGCTCCTAAGCCCTCGTCCTCTCCTACACTGATTACAGGACGAGTAAACTGGGACAATTTTCGTAAAGACCTGGAAAATAAATTGGACCTAAATATTCCACTTAAGACGAAACGTGATATTGACACAGCCATAAAAGAACTTACTACATCTATAAGTGACAAAATAAAGAATAATACATCTACCAATAAAACTGACAACTCCCAACAGACAAATTTGCCGCAGCATATTCGTATCTTATTAAGGGAAAAACGCAGAGCAAGATCGAAGTGGCACAGGACTAGATATCCATCAGATAAGACATATTACAACAAATTAACTAACCAACTAAAAGCTGAAATTAGAAAATACAAAGCTCAAAATTTACATGACATGACAGAAAAACTTACTACTTGTGACAAATCACTATGGTTGACTACTAAAAAACTCCTTAAATTCAAAGATTTTAACCACCCACTTATTACTGAAACCCAAACCTGGTCCAGATCTGATGATGAAAAATCTCAAATATTTGCTCAACACCTCTCAAAAACATTTAATCCACACCCAGACATCCTTAATCCAACCCACCTTGAGTTTATTGAAGCAGAATTGGATACCCCACTCCAATTGACTCCTCCACCTAAAGCATTTCATCCTTCAGAAATATCCAATATCATTAATAGATTACCTTCTCGCAAAGCTCCTGGCCATGACCTAATCACCTCCCAGATCCTAAAATGTCTTCCTAAAAAAGCCATACTGTTCCTAACCTATATATTTAATGCTGTACTCCGCACCACATATTTTCCTGACTCTTGGAAACTATCCATTGTCAAAATGATACCTAAACCCACAAAGCCGCCAGAACACCCATCCTCTTACCGTCCTATCTCCCTTTTACCCATTATGGGCAAAATCCTGGAAAAACTCATTTTAAAACGCCTGTATCCCATCCTAGACTCTAAACACATTATCCCAGATCACCAATTTGGATTCCGCACATCCCACTCCACTATTCAGCAATGCCATCGTGTGGTAGATGTAGTCTCCTCTGCATTGGAGCGCGGAATGTACTGCACGGGAGTCTTTCTCGACGTTGAACAGGCGTTTGATAGAGTCTGGCATCCGGGACTGATGTACAAACTCCGTGAATTCCTACCACCTACATACTTCCTCATTATACGTTCCTACCTTACTGACAGATACTTCAAAGTCAATCATAACAATGCTTATTCATCTCTTTTTACTCAGTCTGCCGGTGTTCCTCAAGGTAGTATCCTAGGTCCTATCCTTTACACAGTTTATACAGCTGACATCCCAACCCAATCCAACACTGTCATCACCACCTATGCCGATGACACGTGTATCCTATCAGTTAATAACGATCCTTTAATTGCATCCCAAACTCTTCAATCACATATCACAAGCCTTGAAGAATGGTGTAAAAACTGGAGAATAAAAATAAATTCCAACAAATCCCATCAAATCACTTTTACCCTCCGTCGTAAACCTATGACCTCTTGTCCTACAGTATCCTTCAATAATACTCCACTTATTCCTGTTGAGCAAATCCGCTACTTAGGACTCCACCTTGACAAACGACTCACTTGGAACCCCCATACCAGACTGAAACGACTAGAAACCGCCCGACGTTTTCGACTACTGCAGCACTTACTAGACAAACGATCTAAGCTTTCAATCAATTATAAACGACTCGTATATATGACAATAATAAGACCTATTTGGACTTACGGAATTGAGCTTTGGGGCTCCACTAAACCATCGAATTCCTCTCGTATCCAATCCTTACAATCCAAAATCCTTCGTAAAATCCTCAACGCTCCTTACTTTGTCACAAATAAAATCATCCATAAAGACCTTAATGTTCCATATGTTTCCGATCTGGCCCAATCCAGATACCTTTCCTTCCATAACAAACTGCAGAATCATCCGAATCCTCTCGTTTCAAACCTTGCTTCCTCCTCGATCCCTGATAACCCTCCGAGGCGTCTGAAAAGAAGATGGCCTCGGGATCTTCTAATATAGAACTTTAATTTGAGTTCTACCAATGGGTAGTTTCTCTTCATGTTGTACATGCCATGTTACAAATTTCTCATTTACTTGTTGTATTCTCTATGTAATACAGTTGTAAATTCCATTGAAATAAAAAAAAAAAAAAAAAAAAAAAAAATAAATTATGATAACAAAATTGATTTTAAGCAAATTTATTCAAGTTTAGTTAAATTTTTTCACTAACAAAAATTGAGTTAATTGTTAATGTCACTATTAGAGAAAATGTGTGCCATTATTTTAACATTAATTTGTTTAGGAGCTGAACCTTCACCAGCTTATTTCAACATTGTTATGTCGGGAGAAGTTGAAGAAGTATTAGATGGAACTCAGCTAGCAGCAGACTGGACATTTTCAGGTTTACAAAAGTTTGGTCAAGGGTTACTTGATCGTCTGAGAGGTTTAAAACTAAACCATCCACTACTAGAAAAGGTTGGGTTACTGTAATATCAGGATTGATACAATCACATTGATTATTATGCATTAGAATGCATGACTAGTTATATTGATAAATTAACTGAACTAATGTAAGAACATAAATATGTATACATTTCTTCTTTCCATTTAATTTTATAACTTTTAAAAGACAATATCCTATTAAAGACCAGTTGTTTCAATCTGAACCTGACTGTAATAGTTGAACTATTTTACTGTCCATAAGAAATATGTAATTACATGTTTTCATGCAACCATGGAAATCGTATTTCCTTTTACTTGGTCATTCTTAAGACTTAATCAATGGCTAGCCTGTTATAATAGGTTCTTAGATGCCAACACCTATCAACAAATAACCTATTTATTGGCTTTTTGATTACCAAATACTTATGGAATGGTTACCTATTAATCATCTTTTAGTTGTCAACAATAATCGTTGAATAGGATATATACATTCAATAAAGTAAGTCTTTGTTGAGAGGCAGCCTTAACTATAAATGGCAGATAAACCATTAATCCATTAATGAACCCCATGAAATACATGAATTGAGCACCTTAACTATATCAAAGAGTTTATAGAAAATAATGAGTTGTTTTTTTCTATTTTGAGACCTAAACATATTTTAAATCAGCAGGAAAACAGTATATATATATATAGATAGAAAAAAAAACTTTATTCTGGGACTAAGTCCCTTCAGAATAACAATAATGTACAAAATAATAGAATGTTACTGGTCTAAACGTTTGAAACAATAAATAAAATTGATAAAAAGTAAAGAAAACCCTAGTTGCACAAGCTATTTACAATACAGATAAGACTATGTACAGAGCATTTAAAATTATGAACAAAACAATTAAAACTATGAACGAATCACTTGAACTATGAACAAAATTATATATAAGGGTTGAACAACATAAACATACCCTTTGAGAAATGAAGAACGAAAAAGAGATACAATGAGTTCATTTCATAAAATAAAAAAAACTTTACTTGAATATATATATAAAAATAAACAGTTAATTATAATTGAATAAAAAAAAATGTATGTATTGAAATTCCTATGTCGATAGTAGGAAATGCATGTACTATCTCTTACCAAGTATTATGATTATATGATTGCTACTCAATACATATATAATATTAATAGTTAGCTGGTATCTGACTGTTTTTGGAACAGGAATTGGAATAGGAGGTTTTTGAATGTGTATAGGGAAGGGGCATGTCGAATTTTGATCGGGAGGGAATTTCAAAAGTTGACAGAGCAGGCTATAAAGGAATTTTGGAATGAGGCAGATCTATGAGAAGGGATGTACAGGTCAGAGGGTCGGGATCTTGTAGTGAGGGAATGGATTGAGGACTTAAATTGGAGAAGGTTGTAGGCATAAGAAGGACGATGATCGATAATGATTTGATAAAGGAAAGTGCCTAAGAAATATTGTCTTCTTAAGGAGGGGAAGAGCCACCCTAACTCAGTGTAGTGGTGGGAGACACGGGAGCGTCTCGGGGTCCCAATTACAAATCTTACGAAGCTATTCATAAGTCTTTTGAGTCTATCACGGAGTTACACCGAGAGGCCATCGTACACCACACAGCTGTAGTCAAAGTGGGGAAAGATGAGAGAGGAAACTAGGAGTCTACGGGTATTTTGGGGTAGAAGATGGCAGAAGTGATGGAATAGTTTGAGAGTAGAAATCGCACGGTGGGATATATGAGAGATATGGTGATTCCTGGAAAGGGTTTGATCTATGAGAAAGCCTAAATTTTTAACAAAGGGATAGAAGGTGATGGGGTGGTTGTTTAGATAGAGTGAGGGAAAGTTGGTGTGGGATCTAAGGAGGGGCTTGGAACCAATGAGAATGGCCTGAGTTTTGGCAGCATTTAGCCTTAATCCATTTAAGTTGGCCCAGGCACTAATTCCATCTAAATCTTCTTGAATTTTGGCAAATGCCACCAGTAACTCAGCGGGAGAAAAGGATAAATAGATTTGAGAATCGTCGGCATAAAGGTGGTGGGAACAATGGATAATTGAATCATTTAGGTCATTAATATAAGAGCTGAAAAGAAGAGAGTTATATATATATATATATATATATATATATATATATATATATATATATATATATATATATATATATAAAAATAAAGTATTGCGTAGAATATTCGGACCGAAGAAGGATAAGTTAACCGGAGAGTTCAGACGGTTACACAATGCCGAATTGCGTGAACTGTATCCGGGTAATATAATTGAGGTAATTTGGTCGCGGCGAATCAAATGGGCTTGTAAAGTTGTTGGGCTTAGTAACGAGAGAATTCCTAAAAGGTTAATATTTGCTATGCCAAATGGTAAGCATCCGAGGGGTAGACCGAAGCGAAGGTGGGAAGATTGTATTAAAGCCGATCTGAAGGGACTGGGTTTGGACGGCGAACGGTGGAGGGAGATATGTAATAAGCGATTGGTGGTGTCGGCATCGAACCTTCGGGTTCGCTAAGCCTTTTTTATTATTATTATTATATATATATATATATATATATATATAACGTAATCAAGAATAAATAAAGAAAAATAGGAAGACCAAAGCTGAGATGGGTCGATGGAGTAAGTGTCAATGCCAGAATTCTCGGAATCAAGAACTGGTGGATGACCGCTCAGGACAAAGAAAAGTGGAGGACAACGTTTGAGGCATCCAAGATCCAGTAATGAATTGCAGAGCTGGGGGTGATGATGATGAATCAAGAAGAAATTCTTTACCTATTAACCAAATTTAGAATTAGAAATTTATCAAAACTTTCAGAAAAAAACTTCCTTGTTCAATATACTTTAAGTCTATAATAATTAACTAGCAGTTTGTCACAGAATAAACTGAGAATCTTTTCTAGTTTTGTAAAAAAAAAAAATGTGAAATGAAATTTTATCTCTTCAATTAACATTTTTTTCAGAAAAAATTTTTTTAAGAAATTATTAAAAACCTCTTCTTTTTTCTATGACTTTAGATGTTTTACATTAAATTAGTTACTGAAATATATAAATGTTTAAAAATTATCACTTCAAGTGATAATGAATCAGTGTTTTTACATAAATATCAATTATGGAAATTGATTGTTAAGATATAAGGTGACCATCTAAATGTTCTCATTTCCTAATTATGATCCTGATACTCACGTTTTTAGAAGAATAATTCAAGCAATTGGTGGGTTTCATTTTATTTTCCAGAAATGTAATTAATAATAATAAGCTATTACCTTAAATAGATATTGATGTCCTTTTTTCTAGTTACATAAAGATTTTCATTTGTCTGATTATTGCTACTTTTGAAATTAAATTTCCCATTCCTGGTAAATGTTGCTTCTTCAGAATAAAATATTCTCCTACAAGGTTCCTTCCTTGAACTTCCAAATGCTTCAATCTAAATGCAGCATTCATTATATTTGGACACTAATACCAATTTAAGGTAATAGCTCATTATAATTTTTAATAAATAAAAGATTTATAATAGTTTATTGTAATTATTTTTACTGAAAACATTAGTACTTTGAGAAGACGAGATTTTTATAATGATCTAAATTAAATAGTTTTTAATTAACGGTTCTATTTAATATAAAATACTTAAGTTTAACAAAAAATACAAATTTATTGCACAACCAAAGTTGTGCCACAATCTAAATAAAGGTTTTTTTATAGCTTTTAAGGTCCAATATTACCCTTTCAATATTTACCATTAGTTAAGAGACACCTGTAAAATTACTAAACTAAGTTTCCTTATAATACTGCCCCAAATGGAAATTATAGATTTCTTTTGAATATTATCAAACATTTTAAGAATCATGGAACTGAATATGCAATTGGTAACATATACTTATATAATTGTAATATATATAACCTCTGCTTTGAAAATAATTGTTTGTTCTAGGTTAACATTGTTGAAATTCCTGGTATATTAGAGATCAGAAAACAAGTTGAAAGATTATTCCCCTTTAATGATGCTTGCCAATGGTTCATTGATCGGGCAGACATAATATTTCTTGTTTATGATCCTTCAAAACTAGATGTAGGTCCTGAAACTGAGGCTATTCTCGATCAGTTGAAAGGAAGGGAAATGCAAGTAAGTATTGAAAGAATTATATTTTAATTAAATAATGATGCAATTATTTACTTTTAGTTTACTGTTAGTTTTTACTCCTTAAGAAATATTATTAAATAATTTTAATAAACAATTTTTACCACAAATTTTTACGTCGGTATACCAGGATCCCAAGAGAATAGTGCAGCTTAACTGATCAGAACAGAGATTTTATAAAGGCTTTATGCAAGGTGCTAGCCTAAGCCCACTACTATTCATTATATGCATGGATGTAGTATTGAAGGTATGTTAGCGAAGGACACCCAGAGTAACAGTGGGGTACTGGAATATAATTCCTGTGCTAGCACAAGCTCTCCTATATGCATATAACGTAGTATTGATTGCCGACACCCAAAGGAAAAGCTCCAGAGGAAGGGGATGGGAATAAATCCTACAAATTGTAAGGTGATGCTCATCGGCCGAGATGTAGAAGACCAAGTTCTCTTAACATGTAATAATGAGCTGTTAGAAAATGTAGATAACTAACAGTACTTGGGCATGATTTTCAGCAGGGATGAAAGGATTAACCAGGAGGTTTTAAATAGAGTCAAGAAGACCAATAGTATGTTTTACTCCATCTGCTCTATAATATTTGAAAAACAGGAGAGAAAGAGGAAAATCAAAATAGCTTTGTTTAAAACAGTATTTTTGCCTGTCCTTTTGTATGGTGCAGAGAGTTGGATGTTCCTAGACAAACATGTAAGCTAAGTAACAGTCATAGAAATGAGATACCTCAGGAGAGTTCTTGAGAAAACATAAAGAGATAGCTCGAGGAACAAGAGGATAAGAGAAGAACTGAATATAAGGCCTGTAAAAAAAATCATAAAGGAATACCAACTGAAGTGGTTTGGCCATGTGTACTGGATGAGTGATTACCGAAAGGCAAAATGGTTACTGGAAGCAAAACCAGAGGGAAGACAACCTATTGTGACTACATGGAGAGAATTGTGCAAGCCTGAGGCAACACTGTGGTGGATATGAGGAGAGATGACTGTGGAGATCAGTGGACAGTGATGGGGAGATCAGTGGACAAGATGGTCCGAGGCTGTTCCTCCATTTTGATGGCTCTAAAGAGGTGGGAAAGGGAGAAGGAAACAATTTTTGATAAAAACTTGGTAAAAATATAATAGTTTTGTTTAATTAAGAGTGCTTTGTGAATGCTTGTAGCCCTAATACTTAATGCCCTTCAATGTGGTAGATTGTATAAATATTCAATAAACTCATTATAAAAAGAATATTGCGTTAGAACAGATTGTGCTGGCCTAAGACCAGAGCGGATGAGAATACCAATTGGAAAACAAGAATTTGATGAATAATTAAGATACAAATACACCATGGTTAAATTTATTTTCATAATTAATTACTAGTCATTTATTTTAAAATTCATGCTTCATAATTTGTTATTCATGGAATGTATTTCAGTGAAATGTATTTTATTTCTAATTATCTTCAACATACTTCTCGCTATGTGTATATATATACTTTATTTTATTTTCTCTTCTCCTAATCTTTACGCATAATCACTTAAATATCTTAGGGAACATATGTATATCATTATTTGTTTTTTTACATATTTTTTTGTTTTAGTTTTTACAATTTCTTTCCCTACATATTAACAGTTATTATTATTTTTTTAAATTTTTATATTCCATCACTACAATGCTTTACCTATAAAATAGATTTTACTTTCCTTATAATTTCATTCAGTGATTATTATGCAATTATTTTAGCTCCAATATTGTAGTACTGAACCCCTATTACCAAACTGTCCTCGTTAATTTATCCTAAGAGCTTAATTAATACTTAATGTATTACATGTATTTTGTCATTATTCATTGTAATAAGTCTTTTGACCAGATTTGTAGTTAATATATATGAACAATACTGTTATTCTAAAGGGACCTAGTCCCAGATTAAAGATGATTTTTCTATTCTATTCTATAATTTAAGAAATCATATAAGGAGGTTTTTTTTTTACTATTTGACCGCTTATTTTATTGGATTCTTAATGTAGCGCAATAATCACTTTTGCCACAAAATAAATTTAAAATACTCTATTGGAGGCAGGCCTAAATGTGAATATTCATTTATTGTTATATGGAGGATTTAGTGGTAACAATGAAGAACATGGCTTATGAAGTGTCAAAAGAAAATTTGCTTTAAAAAAAAAATACTAAAAATATTAATTTATGTTAGATAGAAGTTTTGTTTTTTACTCATTCTTATATAGATGGTATAATTAATTAAATTATAAAATTAAAACTATGTTGCAGACTAGAATAATTCTGAATAAGGCAGATCAAGTAAAGCCAGAAGAACTTATGAGAGTGCAAGGAACACTCATATGGAATATTTCACCATTGATGTCTTCAACTGAGCCACCTGTAATGTATTCAACTTCTTTGTGGTCATTGCCATATGAAAGTGGAGCTCCTACAAGGCTCTTGCATGCCCAAGAAAGAGCATTCCTGAAAGATATAAGAGAGGCTGTTGATAAAAGAGTTGAAAACAAAATTGCTGGTGCCAGAAGATTTGCGGTAAGAAATTCGCATTGTTTTATTTTGAAAATAAATTATATTACATATGTATATATATAAATATATTTTTTAATTCTTCATTATGTTTAACACATATTCTATTTCTCAATTTACAGGTCCGTGTTCGAAATCATGCAAAAATGGTCGATTGTTACTTAACTACATATTACAACCACAAATCATTCTTTGGAAATAAGAAAAAAATTAGTGATGATATCATCGAGCATCCTCAAAATTACCATATTTATGAAGGACTCAGCACACTCACAAATATTTCTCGTTATGATCTCCCTGATCCTGATGTTTATCGGGATTTCTTCAGGTTAAATCCTGTATACGAATTTCAACAGTTATCTTCAACTTGTACATACTTCAGAGGTTGCCCTATAAACAGGCTTGATGTTGCTATTGCTTATGATTTACCAGAACTTGTTGGAAAATATAAAAAACATGTTGAAGAACTTGTAAATTATTCAAAAAAGTAAAAAGATAGATAAAATTGAGAACCAACTATTGTTTCCTATTAAATGATCCTTTTGTTATGGTGTCTAAGTTATTCTAAGTGAATAATCTAGTCTGAGATTGTATACATACAATTAGTTATTGAAATAGAAGTAAAGTCATGAATTATTCAAAAATTTACGAAATCTTTATAAAAGTCTATTAGTAAATCACATAATGACTTATAAAATCAATAAGACTGCAGTGTTAATATTGATTAAAATTTTGTGCAATTAAGAACTTTATTGTGCTTTCAGTGAATAATAGAAGGGTTTCCAAGTTAACAAATAATTCTGAAACATATTTTATTCCAAATAAAATTGTATAAGTGTTTTATAAAGAATATAGTTAAACAAAATAGAAACATGAGATATTGATCATTGCTGTGACTTGAGTCTAAAAATACATTATTTTTACATATATCATCCTATTTATTACTGGAAAATATATTATTTCAAGGTTGAAAATTGATATGATGTAATGGTAAAAGAGAACAAATTACACTATAAAATCATAATGCTTTCTTTAAAGAAATTTTTCAGGAAAGTCCTATACTTTGTACAATTTACTCCTATCATATTATTATAATACCATTTAAAAAATAATATTAATGATAATCTTTTCGTTTTACCAAAAAAAAAGTAGAACTTTACATCAATTTTATAAAATAATTTGAGAAGGTGATCACAAGTTAATAAGTGGCTAACATTTGTCATTATCAATTCAAAAATAATGGATCATAAAACAGCACATTTTAACTCTAAAAGTTAATTAATCAGCAACAAAGAATTTAACATTCAAATTTAAGGAGATGAGGTTCTTTTTTTTATGATAGAAAAATATGACAAACTTGTCATATTGTTACAACATTGAATATTTTTCAAAACTAGTTTTTATAAAAGAAAAAAAAAAACAAAAAAAATATAAATTAAAAAACTGAGAAATAAAAAATAATGAAGGGACATTAAATTTATAAAGCAAATTAAGTTATTTTAAATGCTAGTATTTATTAAAGGTAAATTTGTATTGAAATACATCACATGATTTTAAGGAAGATTAATTTATATTAAAAAATTATATTTAATTTTTTTCTTTATTATTACTTCAAATAAATTAAAGGTCTTGTCTGTATAAATCTTTGAACTCATAATCATGTAAATAACTATTAATAAATAATATACTCCGAGGAAAAAATCATATCATTAAATTACCTTATATGTGTTCAAATATCTTATTTAATGTGATAAATTTTAAAATTTAGTTTGATTTATGAATTAATGGTTAATATCAAAAGCTAATTTTCTTCATACTCCATAATGTTGGTTTTTAATGAAACCCACATTTAGTGTAAATAAAGTAATTTAAAGAATTAAAATGAAAGACTAGTAAATTCATGGATATTGGAAGATAATAATAGAATAATTGTTAATAAATATATTTGAAAATATCTTTTTAGCTGTATAATACAATATAAAATTCTGCAAATGTAAGCTGGCTTGTATTTCAACTAATAAGTACATTACTTACTTTTTAGATTTGACTATTACAGAATAAGACTGATATCAAACTACTGTGCAACAGTTCCTAATGAATGGTAACTGTTTTGTCCAAAGATTTTTAAAATATTGTTTATAAAACCTTGAAAGTGATATTTCTTAATACATGCTTGTAATATGTAAATAAAAACTATAAATGTAAGATCTGAATTTCCAACTTATTTCATTTTAATTCTTATTCCCAAACCGGAAGTTTACTGGAATGTTTTTACTTTCACTTACGTATATATGTAATATATAGTAAGGGTAAGTATTGCAATCGTGAAAATTTTCGAATCTCAGTTTTCAATGGATATACATGTTTTGAAGTCCCCTGAGTCCAAATAACCAAGTGTCGCAAAATGGTCTGTATGTGTGTGTGAGTGTGTGTGTGTGTGTGTGTGTGTGTGTGTGTGTGTGTGTGTGTGTGTCTGTGTCTGTGTGTTAACAGTCTAGCTCATAAACGAAAAGTAGTACGAAACTAATATTAAGTATTTAAAGTTTGTATATGAGCCGGATGTGACAGTAACTTTTTTGTTAAAATCGGCTAACCGGAAGTGCCACTTTATATGAACGCTGAAACACATTTTTACAATTTTCTCAAAAACGGCTCAAACGATTTTGATTAAACTCGGTGTATCATTGTATAATTAAGTGGTCTTTAATATCATTTAGATCTTATCCCTGTTGATGTCACTTTACAGGGCTTAAATGTCCAATGTTCATATATATCTACCTCTAAAGTACCTTTAATATGGTTTATTTTAAAAAGTTAATCATTTCGCATTATTCAGAGTTACAAAAAAATGCTACATATAACTTTTGAAAGAATTTGATAAGTTAATAAAGGAGAAAAAAAAAATGCAGAAAAACCTGCGTTGCTATAGATTGTAGCGCCTAAACGAATGTACCGATTTCAATGAAACTTCGCTAAAATCATTTTCTCGACACCCTTTAAATCTATCTATATAACATACTTCAATGAAAAGAAGCTGCAAATTAAATTCCGAATAACTCACAAAGTATACACTTTTTTGTGGATATTGTATATATGGTTTTTTAAAAGTTTATGGAATTTCCTAAAAAAATAAAAAAATGCGTTAAAATCGGACTATTAGGAGGAAAAATATGGTCTCTAGTTTTTTTCCCTGAAGAGGCGAAAATTTGTTAAATTTTAATTAATTGTTGAGAATAAAAAAACTTTTTTTCTACAGATATTTATTATAGTATCTTACCTCCGAACATCTTTCATAAGAAATAAGTACCTAAATTTATACCTTTATTCTCAGTTCTATATTTCAACACTGCAATCACCACCTCCGGAATCAACTTACTCACTGTCTGGATAGATTACTTTTTCAACTAAAAATATCACTAAATTGACATTACTCAAAAATTTTGAAATTGGAGTTAGTCATTCTGTGGTTATTAAAAGCAAAGAAAGTTGTGTGGTTTATAAAAGCAGGTGGAGTGACTAGATTTTTATTGCCTACCGTCGATATATTAAATAGACATTTATAATTATAATGGTCTTAATGACTTGTTATCTGTAAGCTTTAAGCTTTAGCTCCGTTTAAAATGCACTTCAAAAAATTTTATAATAGCCCAGCATTGCCAGAAAATAATTTCTATTCACAGTAGAGAGGTAAGTGAAAGTTGTGTGTTGCGCGCACCAGATTTTTTAAGTAATTAAGTGGAAAGAAAAAAGTGTAATCATTAGTGGAAGGAAGTTGAAACTAAATGTCGGTGCTGCATATTAAAGATAAAGTGAGACATATATATATTACGAATAAGATATAAATTTAGAAAATATTTCTTCCTCATTTCCCTATGATCAATATTTTTTTAATTTTCCTAAACTTGAACTAATTAGAATAGGTTTTAAAAAAATGCAATAAGATTTAGTTTAAATTAAAAAAAAGGCATTAACCAATGCAACTTGAGCCCACCATTCTTTGTTTTTCATGTGTTTATTCATAGAAATGGAGTATAGTATATATACATATTTTTTAATTTTCATTTATTTATTTATTGAATTAACCCCTACCCACCATTTTGGCATACGGTAGGTGGGGGGGAAGGTTGTTCTAGAGGTAAAACTAAACCTATTCTAACCAGAGTGGAAAGGTCGAGTTCCATTCCATGGGTCCGCCATGAAATAAAAATTAACTCTTCCCAGGCCGGATCTGAACCAGCACCGCTAGGCATGAGAGTGCTACAATGAGGCCATCATGTCCTCATCAGAGTATAATATATATTCATAGTAGCATACATTGTACTCATTAATTTGTATAAAAATGAGTTCATGAAGGGACCAAAAGGTAGCATTACTAAAACTCCCACCACTTTTTCTTAGGTTGAATGAATTCAAAATGGGTTTTTCGAACCATACCCATCTTAACCAAACATCCAACCAGGAATCAATTTGTATACTTTCAGCATATAAATGAAAATAATTTTATTATTCTGGGACTAGTGTTCCTTTATAACAAATTATAAGTACAGAATATATATTAACATTCTGGTGTGTCCAAAAAATACAATTAAATATTTACAGGATGATTGGTAATAAAATAAAAGTACAGATAATGAAAAAATATAAAAACGTACATAAATATAAAATAAACAGAGAATACAAAATAAATAAAAAAAACATCAATAAATCACAAAATAACCGAAGTATCTGGGGGACTTTGAGATTTTTACAACTTTGATTTTTAATTGCATTTCATGATCAACCAGATTGGGAATGGAGCAGGTGTTTGAAGAGGAGAGATTTGAAAGATTATACTGACTTTGCTTGTCAAATATCAGAAGGGATAGATTTCTAGAGGGAGACAGCTTGAATTAAAAAGGATTTGTCAAATGCAGCAGTTCAGTGAGGAGGAGGATAGAGGTCAGTATATACACTCTGCCTCTTAGAGTCCTCCATATCCAGTTTTTCTATAACAGCAAAAAAAAAAAAAAAAAAAGAATAAAAGCTTAAAATATTCCTCAAAGGCATGGTTAATAATCTCCTAGAAAGATTCCCAAACTTAAGAACACTGCGCTATTAAGTGAGAATCAAAATCAAAATGATAAGATTATATGGGTCAGTATTTGTATCATTCATATTATATTAGATAGTAAGTCTAAGCCCTTCTGTTTTAATTTAGTGATGGATGATCAGGTTTGAAAGGAAAAAAAATTATGACCAATGGTGGCTTCTGGAATTAAATAGAAGATAGATGACTCAAATGCTATGGATATGTTTTTCCCCTTCTTTTTAGGGATGACCAGCTGACATGCTACAACTAACTTATTGTAAATAAATTGAAGGATTCAGTAGAATAAAAGGAATTAGTTCAACTAAAACTTGGAGATTGGTAAAGATAAAGATGATTGGACTAGGTGGTTATACGTAAACTATTCCTTGCCAAGGAGGCCTAATGGAGGAGACATATAATAATACCAAAACCATCCAATTCAATTTTCATCAATACTTTGATAATATTTTATCATCAGTTACAACTATTTATTTTAAAAAACATTTAAAAAATGACAATATATAGGTATTGCAGGAAGTTGGTTGACTGTTCGACATATCATAATTGATAAATAATCAGGGAGCAATCATTTTTAGATTTTTATTGTTGCCGATGTTTCAAGCCAAACATTTAGGTCATCAGCAGGGCATGTCTCCAGTACTGAAGGTGGTCAAGTACTAGACACTGGAGTACTTGAACACCTTCAGTAGTCAGGAAACATGATGATGACCCACATGGTTGGGGTGAAACATCGACAGCAATAAAAATCTTTAAATAACTGCTTCCTGATTATTATCAACTATAAGTTATAAGTTATAATATAATATAACAATATAAGTTACAATACTTATACTTCTAATATAGTCTTTTTACTTTTACTTACCTATATATGTAATATGTAGCAAGAGAAAGTCCCACAAAACTGATATTAGGTATTTAAGATAGGTAAATGCCTTAGATATGACAGCAACTTTCCCCTTAAAATTGGCTAACCAGAATTACCACTTTATATCAACGCTGAAACACATTTTTACAATTTTCTCAAAAACGGCTTTAATGATTTTGATTAAACTCGGTGTATCATTGTATAATTAAGTGTTCTTTAATATGAATCAGGTCTTATCCCCATTGATGTCACTTTACACGGCTTAAATGCCCAGTGTTCATATATGTCTTCCTCTAAAGTACCTTCAATATGGTTTAATTTAAATAATTAATCATTTCACATTATTAAGAGTTACAAAAAAATGCTAAATATAACTTTTGAAAGAATTTGAGAATTTAATAAAGAAGAAAAATAATACAACTGCTTATCCAGGTTGAAAATGAATCTCCAGAAATACTAGTCAGAAGGCATAGGTATAGGTAAAATATATCGTTGGAAACAGAGAATTTTAGAAAAAACAATATCTAATATAGAATGTTATAGAAGGTAACTGAGAGTGGCGAAAAAAATATAAATAATAATTTTTGAAAACTAATATTATTTAACATTAATCACATGTTTTCAAGGAAATTAAATGAAATTTACTAATTGAATGTAAACTTTTAAAATATTTTTAAGTTTGAAAAAAATATTTAAAATCCACGAGTTCAAGGCAATGACACTGTTTAAGATATTATTTCATTGTACTTGTGTGAAATAAGAAATGAAATATAAAAATATTTCATAGATATGTTTATAACCTTAAATATATTAACTATAGTTTAATAACTCTAGATCTGATATTATATATAAATAATTATCGTCCGTTTATTCCGAAAAATCATCATGTAAACTTTTAGAAAATCAAATTAGTGAATAATTTGATGAATTTTCCCTTTGTGATATTCCAACAGTATCCACTTCCAATTAGTGTGACAACTTTTGACCTGTCTATGACAGACAATGCAAATCTCTTAATTCCTTATTATTAAATTTGCAATGGAAAATAATAGTTTAATAACTAATAGTCGTATAAACCATAATCAATGGATAGTTCAATCCATTATCGATGGATCCTACAACCCATAATCAACTGGTGATATAATAAATAGAACTTTTGTTATTTTAATGGTATTTATGATTTGTTAGCTGTATGATTTTAGCTTTAGCTCGGTTAAAAATGCAATTGAAAAATTTTAAAACACTCCAACATGACCAGAAAATAATTTCTATTCAAAGTTGAGCAGTAAGAGAAAGTTGTGTGTTGCGCGCACCAGATTTTTTCCTTTGTCCTTATTAAAAAAAAGAATAATAAAAGATTGAATATATAATAGGATTTTAATACCTCAATTGATACTTAATTTTATTTTCCCTCCCAGAGGTACAAAAACAATTTTTTTTTTAATAGAAGATTAATTTTTTTTTCTATTTTTAAAAACTCTTTTCTTCATGAATAACAAAAAACGATGGAATTTTCAAAATCCAATAGTTCTTCACAGAGAGAAAGAGAAATACTTTATTTAAATCAGTGCTGCCCTACTATATACGGTTGCTCGATACACAGCATACTCATCAATCCTTTTTTTTTTTTTTTACATAGCACCTAATTATACTTAATCACATATTTATATATATACAAATTCTTTTTCATATCACACAGCATAAACAATATCAATGCTATAATATACCAATACACACAATTACAATTATACAATATATATACATACAACCAATACAAGACAATTTCTGAAATTTATAGGAAAAAAAAAAAGATATTCAAATGCTAAAATTTTAAAACCAGAAAAGTTGAATGCACACACAGCAAGTACCATAATTCTATGATCATAGACAAAAAGATATGGTTAGTTAAATCATTTAAAATTGAATAAATAAATAAACGATAATAAATATCAATAATTAACCCCTAATTACCATTTATGTGATGATGAATGATCCAAAATAATACACTTGGCCAACACTGCAAGCTCCCCAACATCAACATCTAGTTCCTCGAAGAAGCTTCATGTTCTTTTAAGAATCGTTCCACGAAACCTAAATCAGAGGCCTCTCCCTGTGAACTCTATCTCTTCGAAGGTCTCACAGAATTTCTCTTATAGAAAAGGGATGCATTTATCTTATATTTCCTTCTTTTCTCTTTTTCTTCTCTTCTCTCTTTAAAAAAAGAACTAAATACTCTTAAAAATTTTTTTAAAAAACCTGTACCACTACAACTCATGAAGGTTCTTAGGTTCAGTACTACGTTGGGAAGTACTTTTCTTAGTCAATTGTTGTGTAAGGAGGTGATCTGACAGATCATGCTCAACCCCCCGATTTTCCCACTTAATTATATAATTATGTATCTAAATAAAAATAAGTATATCATAATTGACCTAATGGATATTAATGAAAGAACTGATCAATAGAATTATGGATATATATATATATATATATATATATATATATATATATATATATATATAATATATATATATATATATATATATATATATATATATATATATATATCCATAATTCTATTGATCAGTTCTTTCATTAATATCCATTAGGTCAATTATGATATACTTATTTTTATATATATTTATGATATACTTATGATATATTTATGATATACTTTATATATATATATATATATATATATATATATATGTATATATATATATATATATATGTATATATATATATATATATATATATATATATATATATATATATATATATACATATATATATATATATATATATATATTAGATGATTTAAATCATTTTTACTCCAGTTAAATTTTATCCTCCTGTATTTATATACATAAATTACACCTAATGTATATTTTAAAAACATAATAGCTGAGATTAAATGTTTGATTGCTCAGAGTACATCTCAGGACAATCTGTTAACCTCAGTTACAAAACTACAAAACAAAATAAAATTATTCATTTCGACCAATTGATGTATATAAAATTTAAGTATATCTTGTGTATGAATTCATTTTCTTATGTCAATTACTTTTAATTTTTAACAGCTTTTATTATTTTGTACTACACTACCACATGTATTATTATGTACTACATTTATTATTATGTTTCTCTACCACGCTGATGGACACAAAGTAATACAGATTAATGAACACTTTCATACCATATACCCCAAAAAGTAAAATGAGTGAACAAAATAAAATCTATCTAATGACATAAACAAAACCATTACTTGGGATCCTATAATAGTTATCTCTTTCCCGCATGTGTAATTAGCCGAATAGGCGTCAAAAACGTAGTGTTTTCTTTTAACATCTTTAAAAACTTGGTATGAAAGACAGTGGTGTAATATTGGAAGTATTATAATAATAGGCCTTCTGGATTATGAGTAATTGCTGGTGTAGTTTTAAAACAGTCTATGGACCACAGCCAATAAGAGAATAGTGCTGATGAAGGAAGTTATATACGGAATTATACCACTGGATAAAAGTTACTGTGTGAATTCATATATTAAATTGACATAACTTGAGCTGATTAATATAGTCAAAATAAATATCATCTCATTGATAATTAATAATTGAAGAAAACAAGATTTTAAAAAGAACACAATTTCAAACCTTGTTAGTAGTGTTGTCCAAATGGGAGACCCAGCCGAGTTTTGGTCTTGCAAACTCAGTCTTGGTCATGGTCTTGGTCTTGCGCAAGAGTATCACAGCAGTCTTGCAGTTAGTTATTATCTTATTACTATAGAAATATTACTGTAATTTATTAGATAGTGGAAACCTAACTAAACCCGAATGAAAACAATAGAGGAATTAAATGCAAAAGTATATTGGTTACAGCAATTATTAACATATAGTAATTAAGATTGTCAAGTGTTAGTGACTATTTTGCCTTAGTTTTTATTAAAATAATCGATTTTTTTTTTACCAGTCCTGGTATTGGTCTTGCAACAGTTAAGCGGCCTTTGTCTTGGTCTTGCAAAGTGCCAGACCAAGACCGATTTTGGGTAACACTACTTGTTAGCATAATTTAACTTTATGAAATTAATTTAGCATCGATTAGAACAGAAATAGAAATAACTTGTTAAATATTAAAGTATCAATGCTAAAATATATAGTAATGCATCTTGGATAACCAAAATTATATTAAAAAGGAGATATATAATCCTAAATAGCTTAGACCATATATGTATCTACAAAGGAAGAGGGAAAGTATAAATAAAAATAAATCTGATATTCTAAGGCCATAGAAGATAATAGTTTAGAAATTAATATTTACTTTTTTATGATTACTGTTTATTTTATTTCTGATCATATTTGCTTTATTTTATTGAAAGGCAACTATATCTCCATTACAAAGAATCAAATGTTTACACTAAATATAGTATTAATCCACATCACTATTCAGTATTAATCCAAATTCATTATATCAGGGATTTTCTCATGAAAACAATTTAATATAGCTTTAAAAAAAGGTTTGAATAGGAGCTTTTATTATACATAGACGTTTTAGTTACCAGTTTTTTTAATTGATTAACTACAAATTTACCAAAATGTTCCGAAAACAATAGGAGTGAGCCTTCGAGTTTGAAAGCACTAATGAAAAGCTAATATGATATCACTTTTAATCATAGTTAATTGTCAATGGTGTGGAGATGGTTGACGGTGATTATAATTTGAAAAGGAGTTTGTCAGGACTGTGGTCATTATACAATATTATATATTATAAATGTATTTTATTGGGTTTGCTGATGTTTCGAACTACCCTATAGGTCATTCTTTGGGCTACAAAAGATATAAACTATAAATATTAATTGTATACAAAGTAAAAAAATAAATTAATTATCAGTAGATATTAATAATATTTTATGGTTTGTATCTTTTGTAGTCCTGAGAAAGACCTACAACGAAGGGGGATATGTTGGCAAATCTAATAAAATACTAATATAATATATAGTATTATATGAGCCTTTCAGTTGACAGAATGACTAACTCCAATTTCAAAATTTTTGAGGAAAGTCATTTTAGTGATATTTCTAGTATGAACATTTATAATATCTATACAGACAGTGAGTAAGTTGATTTCAGAGTAGGTGATTGCAGTGTTGAAATATAGAACTATGAATAAAGGTATAAATTTCCCTACTAGAAATATCACTCAAATTAATAATCAAAAATGTTGCAATTGGAGTTAGTCATTCTGTCAACTGAAAGGCTCATATACTGACCACACCTCTGATCAATTTCTTCTCATAATTAACCATTGATAAACTAGTGACTGGCTAAAATTAAAATTGGGAGCATTAAAATGTATATTAAATATGTGATCGTTTTATTCAGAAAATGAATTTTTATAAAAAAATAAAATTATCTTATCCCAAATTCTAGGTATGACTTATATGCATTGTCTGATACTAAACAAGAGTATTGAGTGTCATTATTGAGAATTCAATTTTTATGATAGTTTCAAATCAATAGAAATGTATATAGAAAATTAATAAGCAAGCTTTCGTAAAATTGGCGCTAATTATGTCGTTAGTTTTTTTTTATTAAGTTACTGATGAATGTATTATTTTTGATAAAAATGACAAATAAATGTTCTTAAAAAATATTACCTAATAATTTAGTTGTCATTTATTTTTCCTTGACTTTTACTAGATGTATTCATTAATTTTAATAATCACGATAGCTTAGACTAAATACATTGCAACGATTGACGATTTTTTTTTTTTTTGTACAAATATTGAAATAAATCAATATTAAAAATTATAAAATAATCAAAACGTTCTACGATGGTAGAAAATGTTATTTAAACTTTGTTGTATCACTATGATCAATTGCAAATTCAAACTGATCAAGTCGGCCACTAAGTAACCACTCCCTTCTGCTCTTCGATGTCTTCAAACCATCTTGAGGAACGTTAGCAAGCAGTCGTATCTTGTGCTCAGTCTTTAACTAGTTAACCTAGCTCTTTCTTACATCATGTCGTAAGTGATTAGTTATTTAATTATTATAATTATTATTAAATTGTTAGTTCATTCACGCATAATTCTTTTATTATTAATATTGTCCAGATGTCTTACTTTTCAATAAAATTCGCAGTTAAACCATTGGCTATATAATCTTCATATAGCATTTAATCTCAATAACTATTTGAAGATTTATATGATATATATAAATCTATTATATATATATATATATATATATATATATATATATATATATATATATATATATATATATATATATAATAGAATCAGCTCTAAAAGTTGAAGTTGTAAATTAATGTTAACAGAATTGCGAATTATTTTTAGTATTAGGTGAAATATAAATATATGGGGTTATTTCATATATTGTTTATGGAAATGCTAATTATTCTAAGATTTTATACCTGAAATACATTATTGGTTTTTATTCCTTTAACAGAAGTGTTGAAATATTAGAAATAATAGAGGAGGAATGAATGGGTACTCGATGTATTTTATGTTAAATCGCTGAAAATATTTAAGTCTTTATGTTAATGTTCAAAATATCCAGATTTTCCAATTTGAACAAAAATTTAGTTTTGGATATTCATGGTCCAATGATTTAGGGAAACATATTCGGGGTACAACACGGGCGGATTTACAGGAGGGCTTTCGGGCTGAAGCCTCCTCCCCCCCCAAAATGGTATAATATAACCATGTTTTATGGAAAAATATATTAAAAAATTATCTCTTAAAGAATTATTGTTCGTGTAATTACATTTAAAAGGACTTAAGGATTCACTTAAACACCATTTCATATAGATAGTTTGTTTCTTTCTTTTTTTCCAAAGTAATTATCGTCATTTTTATGAAAACAAAAAGGTTTCAGGGCTGAAGCCCCCCAAAATTAAGGCCTGGATCCATTAGTGGGGTACAAAATGGTGACGCTGGGCGTGATTCCATTTTGTTCTCGTTGAGGCAACCCAAGTCCATAATGAAATAATTTTTCAACATTAAATTATATTATTTATGTGAAGGATAAAATTTACATTTTAAGCACATCTCCCCTTCTCCTGTATTGTAACAAAATAAATATTTTATAAAAACTAATGAAAGTATAATATTTCGAGATTTTGACAAATTTTCCTTACTTATTTTCATTTCAATTCATCCATTCAACTTGTGTTTATTGTTCGGTAAATTTTTAATTGATTACTCCTATTCCGAAATAATATGATTTTTTTAACAATTTCTACTTTATATAGTACAAAGACACACATATATAAATTATCTCATATGTCAAAAAAATATATCTAGTTACAATGTTCTGCCATGAAATAAAATAAATATATATGTACAGTTAAATAATATTATATGTGTGTTAATGTCTATGTTTGTATGTAATTGTTGTAATGTAATTTTTTTTTTTTTTTAACGAAAAGTGACCATGAAAAAAAAGTAATAAGTACTGGCGACGGGATGGCGGGGCTGAAGAATACAGACGGTATTGTGTCTGTATTTCTTTTTCCTAATAATACCACTCTTCTTAATGAATGTTATTGTTGTGTAGTAATAAAAAGGAAGAATGCGAAAATATTAATGTATATATATAATAGTAGGTTATTGTATTTATTTTATTTATTGTTAATATGAAATTCCGTTAGAAAACACAGTAGATGTAGTATGCACAAAGGAACTTATTGAAATTAATCACTTCAAAGAACTTCGTTATGCTAAGTCCATCTATGACTGAAATATATACTTCATTGTTTTGAAATATTGCTTATTATTTATAAATTATATTTTGGCTGTTCAGCCTTACTGTTCTACCTATTTCGTCGGGCAAATGCTTCACCGTAGCTTTTACTCAGTTACATCGTATATTTAAACTCTATTTCAAATCCAAAAGCCACATAAACAATCCATGTTCTCTCTCTTCCGGCATTCTTGTAAATTATTCCAAGAGGATGCTAGTTCCTGAATAAATATATTTATTTTATTTTATTTCAAACTAAACATTAATTTCTGTGTAATCAGATATATGTATTTGTTAATTTATTTATTGTTATATAGTGGATATCGCATAAGAATAACGGTACACAAGAGATGAAAATATTTCGACCTTTGTTTTAAAACATATTCTTTTATATATATCTTTAAACTGTACCAAGAAGAATATTTTCACTGATTAATATTTATGTTTTTTCTTTTTTCTTATCATTTACTGACGATAATCGCAAGAATCCATTAAAGTCTCAGGTTACATTGGTAATTGCTACAAGTAACAATGGCCCTCTGTCAGATGACTCAGTGATGTATTGATTACATTTTTAAACTTTAGAAATATCAAATTAAGGCGTTATATTTTTTTTTTCATGTTATTAAATATCTAATTAACAAGTTATCTATCATTTTTACCAGTAAATTATTTGTATTTATAAAAAGGTTAATGTTATTATTATTGGATTTTCTCAGTAAGATAGCTAATTAAAAGATGTTGGAACAAGAAAACAAATCGGCAGCTGATATTCTGAACGCACATTAATATAGAGTTTTTTTTTTTAGATCTTGGAGATTATACATCGTTCGCGATGGGTGTAATTGCAGTGCTTGCTCTGAAGTTAGAGATTTAGTCGGTCATGGCCGTATTCGATATTACTATCGTTATGCCCCTTATGCGCATACAGCCAGAACAATAAACCATGTTCCTGCCAATCACCATATTATGCCACCTTCACACCAACACAGGCAACAAATTATTTTTCCACAAAATCAGAATGAGCAACAGGAATCTGATAATTCTGAAAGTGATGAAAATGACACTCAGGATGAGCGTCCCCAGCCTGCTAATTCTGAAAGTGATGAAAATGACACTCAGGATGAGCGTCCCCAGCCTGCTAATTCTGAAAGTGATGAAAATGACACTCAGGATGAGCGTCCCCAGCCTGCTAATTCTGAAAGTGATGAAAATGACACTCAGGATGAGCGTCCCCAGCCTGCTAATAATCAATTACAACAACCAGGAAATAATGCATATCGCCAATATCTCTATGATATGATTGATATGTATTCGTATGAAATTGCTCGTCACCGTCAGTTTCGTAATAATCTGGCTAATATATATAATAATGTAGGAATGCATAGACAATATCGGTTCTTTCGTATTCCTAATTATGTTGTTTTTGGAAATCCAGCTATCCCGGCCTCTTTGGTATTCTACAGACTGTCAAATGACCGTTTTTCCCCTGATGTTGAGGTAAGTTCCTATATAAGAATTTTTATTATATTTTGTTTTGTTTGTTGTCTGCATAAAGACTTGTATAAAATGTTAGTAATATTATTTGCAAAATAAAATCATACATACTTTTGCCTGTTGTGAACTTTTCACAAAAGAGCAAGAACAACTCACCTCGACAAAACAAAAGAGGTGGGCTGGAAAATCAAATTTCTGTCAAAATGCATTATAACACCTGAACATTGAACATAAATACTTTAAAAAAAAATTATTTTTTTTCAGGATCAGCATGACCATGACCAATAAGCACTCAGGCTATGGGTACTATATGATATACTACATGGTATTATGCCTTACATGGGAAATAATTGTTGTTTTTTTGTAGTTGGAAAATAGTTTTTGTTTTTTGTAGTTGGGGAAATACAATATTGTAGCTAGTAGTAACAATAATTATAATAGTGATAATTTGGAATAAAACTTATTTAAGCTATTATAAAATCAATATTTTATAAGTTAATAATGGAAATAAAGAAAATGATAATACTTATATTAATATTGAAATATATATGTTTGTCATGTAAAATAAGAAAAACTCACAAAATGGTGTGTTTATTTTGAAACTAAACAAATATATGATTATATATTCACTATTTTAGTAGGTATAAAATAATGCAGTTGAAATATTGTTCAAATGTGGGCAATGTCAGTATATAAAATGAAATATAATATAAACTTTCTTATAAACTTGTAGTTCGATTCATTTTCGAAGCTGTATTGATATTTAAAACATAAAGCATCACCATGGCCAATAAGCACTCAGGCTATGGGTACTATATGATATGCTACATGGTATTATGCTTTACATTGGAAATAATTTTTGTTTTTTGTAGTTGGGAAATAGTTTTTGTTTTTGTTGTTGGGAAATACAATATTGTAGCTAGTAGTAACAATAATTATAATAGCGATAATTTGAAATAAAACTTATTTAAGCTATTATAAAATCAATATTTTATAAGTTAATTATGGAAATAAAGAAAATCATAATACTTATATTAATATTGAAATATATATGTTTGTCATGTAAAATAAGAAAAACTCACAAAATGGTGTGTTTATTTTGAAACTAAACAAATATATGATTATATATTCACTATTTTAGTAGGTATAAAATAATGCAGTTGAAATATTGTTCAAATGTGGGCAATGTCAGTATATAAAATGAAATATAATATAAACTTTCTTATAAACTTGTAGTTCGATTCATTTTCGAAGCTGTATTGATATTTAAAACATAAAGCATCACCATGGCCAATAAGCACTCAGGCTATGGGTACTATATGATATGCTACATGGTATTATGCTTTACATTGGAAATAATTTTTGTTTTTTGTAGTTGGGAAATAGTTTTTGTTTTTGTTGTTGGGAAATACAATATTGTAGCTAGTAGTAACAATAATTATAATAGCGATAATTTGAAATAAAACTTATTTAAGCTATTATAAAATCAATATTTTATAAGTTAATTATGGAAATAAAGAAAATGATAATACTTATATTAAAAATGAAATATATATGTTTGTCATGTAAAATAAGAAAAACTCACAAAATGATGTGTTTATTTTGAAACTAAACAAATATATGATTATATATTCACTATTGTAGTAGGTATGAAATAATGCAGTTGAAATATTGTTCAAATGTGGGCAATGTCAGTATATAAAATGAAATATAATATAAACTTGCTTATAAACTTGTAGTTCGATTCATTTTCGAAGCTGTATTGATATTTAAAACGTAAAGCATCACCTTGGCCAGTAAGCACTCAGGCTATGGGTACTATATGATATGCTACATGGTATTATGCTTTACATTGGAAATAATTTTGTTATTTGTAGTTGGGAAACAGCTTTTGTTTTTTGTTGTTGGGAAATACAATATTGTAGCTAGTAGTAACAATAATTATAATAGTGATAATTTGGAATTAAACTTATTCAAGCTTAAATTTATTAAATTTATTTTGAAACTAAACAAATATATGATTAGATATTCACTATTGTAGTAGGTATAAATAATGCAGTTGAAATATTGTTCAAATGTGGGCACTGTCAGTATTTAAAATGTAATATGATATAAAATTTCTTAGAATTATACTTGTAGTTCGATTCATTTTCAAAACTGTATTGATATTTAAAACAATCTAAATCTAAAACACATTATTAAACTATTACTGGTTTAAAACTATATATATTCAAGTGACAAGATATTTCGCGGATAGCATTCTTTTTCAGATATTGTCTTATTTTATTTTATTTCTTTTGTATGTATTAAATTAATAAAAATATAAAATTATATTAATTAGAGGAATATGGGAATATATTCATTGGCTAGCGAGTTTGACTTAGGTTAAATGATGTCAGTTTTTTAAGAATATCAATAGATATCTGACATCTCCTGTTACTTTTCCAAGATACTATATATTCATTTAACAGATATTATAGATTTTTTATTTATTTATTTAGAAATATAATAATCTGTCATGTGGGCAATAATTATAGTGATATATGAACAGATTCATAACTTATATACAGAAAACATAAAATTGACAAAAGTAAAATAATAATCAAAAACACTCATGTCTTGAGTGTAGAATCTGGCCATTTTCAGAAGTCCAAGATCTGTACTACAACGATCTCGGGGCCACAGCCGCTTCAACCTTCGGGGAGGATTGCAGTGATGAGTGGAACTAGATAGGGATTGTGCAAGGGAAATTAAAACCAGTATGATTTTTTGTATATTTCATAAAAGTTTTAAAATCCAAATATAACATTTCTATAATAAAATATCACTTAGACCTAGCTCATCGACTTATTTTTCATGGTCTTGTATTAAAAACATATATTCATGTTTGGCATTAATAAGCAAATTCAGAACACTCACTTAAGACTACATTTGTTGTGTAGTGGCCTGTAAAACTGAATGTATGATTTTTTTTTCAGATCATAATAAAATTTGTCTTTGTTTTTAATAAATAATATCATAACTGATAATGAAATTAATAATTTTTCATGATATTGAGGCATATGAATAAACGTTTTATAGTCAAAGTGGCAAGGGTTTAAGTTTTATGTCCGCCATGCATTAAAACAAAAAGGTAAGTGGATAACAATAATAGGATATTTCAATATTAACAACTATTCTGAATTTGTTTGCTTTATAATCTTTCCAGTGCCTTATTAATAAGAATCAATCATTTAATTATTATCAAAAAAGCTTAGTCTTTGAGTGCATATTTTTTTTTCAAAGAAATCAACTGTCTAAAAATAAAATTTTTAATTTTCATGCTTAATTGAATATATGTTTTCTTCTTAGACAAGTTGTTAAAACATCATTTTCTTCACTCAATGACTCAGTTAATTCTTTTTCCCAAAACAAGAGTTACAAACGGTGTCTCCAAGGATATGTATATACATAAGCCCTTATAGTTTAACAATTGATTTAACGTAAAAGAGAGTGAAGTGGCTTGGGTGGCTTACAAGAGGTCTAAATCACCAGAGAACTGAGAAGCATATGTGTGAAGGCGGAACATTGCAAAAACAATCATGAAGCAAGCTTGGAGTAAAGCCTTGGAGGATTTTGAAAAAGAGATTGAAGAAAATTACCAGGAGAATAACCGGAAGTTCTGGACTACTGTGAAATGTATGATTTTTCGAGCAGTTTTCTCATTTTCAAGTTCTCTACAAGTAGTAAAATAAAACATTGCTAATAATTATCAATAATTAACTAATGACAAGTACATGTATGATACCAATACTACAGTGAGAATTTACCAAAACTCCAAAATTTCAAAATCTTTCTATTTCATTATTCTATTACCTTATATCTGGTTTACAACAATGTAAATTATCATGTTCCATTTTATTCAAATACTTTATAGTGCTTGTCAATTCTAAAAAAAAAAATATATTTAAATAAGATTCAAACGTTTGACTATTTCAAAATTAAAATATTTACCATTCTGTATTTTTATGCTTATTTTATTTAATAAGCATATATATATTTCAATAAAAATTAAATTAAATTGGTAATTTTGGTAAGTTCTCACAGTAGTATTGTCATCATACATGTAATCATCATTAGGTAGTTAATGATTATTATTAACAATGTTTTTTGTGACTATTTGTAGAGAACTTGAAAATGATAAAACTGCCCGAAACGTTGTTAAATGTTAAATAAATTGTTAAGCTATAAGGGCTTATATATATTCTTGGAGACGTCATTCCTAAGTACAATAAGTGCCCTTGAAAAATTTCTATGAAAGTAACGAAATATGGAAAACAGGAGTTTTCCACCTGTAATGTAATTAATATCACTACTTTTAAACTGGCGATTAAGTTTCATTTATTTGCTAATGCAACATGATACAATCTAGATACAAAGAATCAAAATTTAGGTCACACACTGGTTAACATAAAAAGTTATAAATTAAAATGTGGAACAATTTTCTGTTTAGGTGAATGTTACTGATTAAAGTAGATTATGAGTGTCTAAAAGAACCTAAAATTGGGGGGGGGGGAGGGAAGGCATCATAAAATATCTTCCTTATTCCAATACATCATTAAATAGTAAAAAAATATAATAATTACAGCATCACCATACAGTTCAATACTAAGAAACAGAGCGATCTTACTCGCCTTAAAAATAAGAAGGAGTTTAAAAAATTTTATTTAGCTATTTTTTTAAGTACTTCATTAGAATTGCCCTCTGAATATTCATTTTTTTTTTTTTTTTGGTTTTGCTACATGGTACAAACATGTTTCTCATCATAATCTGGAACTTCATTTTTAGAGTTTTGTCCCACTAGACTCACAATGTGCCGGGTAGGAACATTAAATAAGTAAATTTTATATTATAATGGTATTTTACATTTACCTTTTTTATTAAAAAAAAAAAAATAAAATTCAAAGACAGGGAGAGAATTAGCTAAATGGATAGAGAACTTCCTTCCTATTAACATCAAACAAAAAAAATAATAATTATGGCGTACTGTTGTAAACATTATTTCAATTTATTTTTCCATTGATAAAAATAATTTTGATATCAGAAAAACTGTCACGCTTAGAATGCAATGAAACTATTGTAACCAATATTGATATTGAAAAAATTTCTATAAAAAAATTGTACATTTTCTTGTTTAATACATCAAAAATGTTAATGTAACAGATTTGGATAACAAATCTATAAAAAATAAATAAAAATAAAAATAAATGATTAGTGGAACTGTTATTAAACACATTGTAACAATTCCAA